CGCTTGATAAAGTTTCTTGTGGACTGCTGTAATAGATCATGGTAGCTAAATATAAGGTGAATAAAATAATAACTTAGCGTATAGAAAAAAGCTGCACTTAAATAAGATTAACAGAGAACTCAAAACGTTTCTGTCACGGTAACTGTAAAATCCTGCACGATTGCAAGTAAAGGATAAAAAAAACTGGAACAGAGAATTACCAGCAGCAAGAAAACATGCTTCTTAAAAAACGAAGAAGAGACAATGAATAGGTTATGGTCTTAGCATATTCAACAAAAACAGAAAAAAACTTGCAGAAATATGTACACTTTTTAAACCAGTAATGAAAAACAGATTTACAAATTGTTAAATTTGGAGAAAAAGTACTACGACTGTTTTATAACTAATTAAAAATTAATACTGCTACTTCTTATACGAACTATCAAAAGCCGCTTAAAAAATTAATTTTTTCTGTTAATCACAACCTAAGGTAGTTGTTATTTCAGATATCTTTGTTATAAACCCTTGACTAATTTCTTTCTCTAAACATATTTTTTTTAATTTTTTGGTTTTTGAAATGCAATCAAACTCTTCCGTAAATTGCTCTACAAAACCCTCATGACCATGCTTTAAAATAGCGTATTAAGAAACAAAGAAATATTTACAGAGCTTTTATTTCACGTACGCGGCGGTAGCACTAATCTTAATGCTAATTTCAAATTATTTTTGACAATTTTCTATTTGTTTCGACTTACCTGTTTCAGCAATAAGATTACAATAGAACTGTTTTGGTAAAAAGTTTTACAAATTCCAAGTCTAATTTTGCGAAACTGCCTCGATAGCCTACTGCAACATTAAAACGCTTTACAGTATAAAGACAAAAAAGGTTTGCTGAAATAGCCTTCAGCTTTCTGTTTTCGACAAATAAGAAATAGGTTTTATGCAGAGGTGTAAAATCTAGAACATTTTTCTGTTTTCCTTCAGTTTTCTGGTCACCTGTTCGTACCAGTTATTTAAAAATATGGACTACAAAGACCAACGAGAAGCACAAAGATTTGGCCAGACTTAAGCAAAATGAGTAAAAGATAAAACATAATTAATGAGTTATTTCTAACAAGAAAAGTTAAAAAACAATTGAATGAATTAAAATCTTTAGCAGTTTTAGCCTCTACACTTGAAATCAATTTTGAACTTGCATAAATGGCAATTTCTGAGATCATCTTGAAAATAAAAAGTTGCTACTTTAAATATACTATATAAGTATCTGTAGGTTCATTTTTTAACAAATAAGATTAAATAAAAATTTTACTTATAATAGTGAATAAAAAAGTAATAAAACTTTTTAGTAGACTTTAACTTTAATGGATTGTAAGCGACATTCTCAAAGTCACGGTCTTTGTAACCAGCTTTTAAACCGCAGTCAGATTCTTTCACCATTTCCTCTACAACTTTATAGTATTTTGTTCAAAGCATAAAAGTGCTTCATTGCAATGAGGAATCTTTAGTGATCAACAGCGTCTGCAGATCTATTTGATCGCCTTAGGGTGTCAAAGATCACTGCACTGGTTGTCGTCACGTAAACGTTTGGTCTTTGGTGACTGCTTGCGACAGCCTTCTTAATGTAAAAGCCTTGATCTTTCTTGGCAGCAGTTTAGTAATATCTGCCCTAAATGATCGTGGTACTATCGGTATAATATATTTTTTTTTTGTAGAAGAAAGTTGGTCATTTGTACTCTTCTTTGGTGTTAATGTATCCGTTAGTGTATCCGCAGGATAGTTATATTTAAGAAAAAAAAATCGTTTTTGCGCTTTTTTAAGCTTTTTGTTTGATGTGACTTTGCATTGAGTACTCTTTTGAGTAGATTTAAAGCTATTCAAAGTTGTTCAATACTATTGGTTCAGTAAAGAGCTGAAAAGTACCATAAAAGTTGTAATTTTACTTGAGTGAACCGCGAGGAAGAGGGCGACAAATACAAGTAATACCGACATGTCTGGTGGTTTTACTGTTTGCTTCCACGGCGGCTTGTTACAATTTATAGCGCAAAATACGTCGTTTGCAACACGTAAAAAAAACTTTTGTTTTTTGTTTAGGTATAGAATTTGAAAAGCCTTTACTGTGCTAGTATTTGGGCAACTATTTTGTAGTAGTTTTTTTGGCTGTCAGTTTTGTTAAACGTTGCCCAAAGTGGTTCGCTGATATTAAGTACAGAACGTTTTCCAGAGAAATTCAAAAGCGAAAAGTGTAGCCAAAACACAATAGGTTTTGTTTAACAGATAGCTTTAATTGTCATAATCAGATTTAATTTTCTATCATTTAAATTTTGTTTCAAAAGTGTTTTAATAGTTTAATTGGTTAGTGTGATCAGTTTCGAGAAAAAGACTTGAACTGAGGCATTTACTTTGTTTGATAGTGGCTAAACTGCATTTTTTATCACAAACTTCATTCTTGTTCCTTCTTTTTGAAGCTGGAAGTCACTTACCAAAAGTGTTGGTAATAGCAGCATGATTATAGCGTAAAAATCGTTCAAATATATAACAATTATCTTAAATATAGGTGATTTGTCTGCACATTTTACTGCCTTTATTGCAAAAGTCACCATAAAGGATTATAAAAGGAACAAGCCTTAAGCTTCAGCAAAGATTCAAATATTATTTCTTAGTGAGTATAATGTCCTTCTCACCAAATATTGCTGAATAAACTAAATAGGCAGAATTTTTTGTTAGTTATTTTTGTAATCAGCAATGGTAACAATTTTTTTGTTGGTTTACAAGACAGTACTTTTAGTGGCTTAAACTACAAACGGCTTTTTATATGACTGCTGAATACATTCCGGATTTCTCAAAACTGATACCGTGTCACTCTAGTGGGCGACAAAGGATCATGGCAGGAAGAGTGGTTTTGCCAACTGAGGTTGTTTTATTTACTTGACTTTCTTTTTTTCTCGTGCTTTGCTTGGTTTAAGCAGTTATAAAGTTACCGTTAATATAAAGTTAATGTCCGCAAGTCTTTGAAAACTCTAAATCACATCATAAGAACGGGTGTCGCACATGATCACTTCTTCACTTTAGTCACCACTGAGCGGCGTTATAGCAGCTTTACCTGAAACTTCCAGCGATTACGAATTACTTGCGGAAGAAGGGTTAGCAAATGAACATTTAAGCGAGCGACAGCAACTGCTACTGAAAAGAAGCATAATGCGGCAAATACAACGCGAGGTGAGCAAACGCACAGGCACTGTTTTATGTGACTATTAGGAATCTTTTCAGGTTCGTGAATCGCGACCAGATTTTAATATAGTTACTGACACTCCACCTGACATTGATTTATTTCTCTCATTACCAGGTATAATCTGGGTTTACTTTAGAAGTTCTTTCTACTTGATAAATTTGACAAATGCTCGCTTTCAGATCCAGATGATATTGGCTGCAGTAACAGCAGTACCATATGTGATCCAAGACTGTCCCAAGTCGGTTACGGTGGCTTATCAGATGACTGTACAAAGAACAAACCAAATTTCTCAGAAGTTTCTACTGAAACTGCTTCAGAAGCGCAAAAAAAATCAGACAATAATAAGAATAAATTAATTAAAGATGTATTTCCGAAAAGTATGAACTCTGCTAAGCCGGGTGTTTCTCGTGTAACTGCAGGCTCAAAAACTGCAAGTATGATCACAGTGATTGAAATTTTTTCATCAGATTAGAAAACTTGAGTTATATAAATGTAACGGTCAATAGGTCGCTGAGTTTTTCTAGTTTTCTGCAATTTTTTGCGAGTCTTTAGCTCACCCTCGTTCTTCTCCTTCTCCTGTGAGAAGGTGCAGGCGTTCGCAACGAAATCGCATACACCGCCTTCGTTGGTGGTTAGGGGAGCGGCCAATTTATCGGAAGGATGCTGAAGGGAGTAAGCATATTCAGTGTTGGCATTCAATGTTAATCCACTGTCTTATAATTCAATTCAGCAGAGTTGAAAACAAAGATATAAATTTTTACTTTTCTTTTTACTGTAGATTTTGAATTGGTTGGTGTAACGGAAGCAAAATTTACTGACCCGTTTTTGGAAAACTACGTAGTCACTACTACTATGAAAGAAGTGGCAGAAACCACTCGACAAAGGCGTAAGATTTTGTAATCTTCTTTTTAAAGTTAAATTATTGAAGTTTTTTTCACTGCGTTAAGCATTATTCATGTTTCATTGTACAACAGTATGGTCAGATACTGGTAATTATGTACTATTTTTTCAGAACTAAAAAAACATAAGTGTCAAAAGTGAAGCAAGTTCTGACGTGGCCGTAATAACTCAAAAGAAATCTTTTGCCAGATATATATTTAGCTTTGATAGGTCTATTTCTGTGTATCAGAGAGAGTTTTTTGAGTGTAGACTTGTGTACACTTTAATTATAATTTGTTTTAGTGTATATTTAACTGGTAATAACAGTTGTGTCTCTTATTTCGTCAATAAATATCGCAAAGCAGCATTTAATTATGAAAAAGTGATTAATCTAAGGTACTCGTACAGGGATTTGAGGACTGTTACTCTGTAAATCATAAGCTACAAAATAGCAGAACATTTGTTGGGTGAACATCAAAAGTATCGGAAAGGGAAACAGAGAATTCATTGATTGTTGAAGTTCCTCATGGACTGATGTAATATATCATCTGTGTGAGATTTTCTTTAATGGCACTTCAACTCATTTTTATGGTGAATAAAGTTTGCTAATTCTAATGCGCGTAGCAATGATTTGATGCCTTCTGCATTTCGCATTATGTTTAAAGAATAATTTCATATTTTAATTGTCAGTTAAAGCGAAAAATGTTTCTGCAACATTGCTTGATAACTTCTAAAACAGACCGGTAACTGAGCATTATGCAACATTTTAAAGCGCTCAAATTCTTCAGACAATATGAGATTCTTAAATCATTTGAAACGTGATGTGAAAAAATAGAACAAATAAAGAAGTTGTAGTTAACAAAAACTTTCTTAAGCACAATGAAATCTCCGCCGTGGCTTTAAATGATGTGATACTGCCTTTAAGATGGCATAGAAATGCCATTTATCGACTACAGTTGAGCCTCGTCGAAAGCGCTTCTGATCGGTAGTGCGTGGGTTGGCTTCGACTAAACGTTTGAAAGTGGTATTCTAAACAACTGTTATGCCTGTTTCACAATCACTTTCAGTGTTACTTTTCAAAATTTTTACACCTGACGTGTAAAAAAGTGCTAATTGACGAAGTCTGTGATTATAGCAATAGATGCGACCTATTTGCAATCTATAAGGTTCAGGCTACACCAGCAGTTAGGTAGACGACTGTTTGCCGCTGACAAAGTTGTGAATTTTTTTGTCCTGACTTGAATTATATGCACTTTTAAAGTCGAACAAGATATATCAGGGCTGGAAATGAAATAAATTCAGATAATGTAATTATGAAATTTTTTTGTTGTGTGCATTTTTAATAAGAAATGTAAGTGCTTCAAAAGTAAAATTCATCTTAGTTGTGCTATGCCAAAAAACTACCAATACAGCTTTATATTTCTCTTTAAAAGTTTATTTTTTAGTAATAAATGTTCTTTTAATGCTATAAAAACAATGTGAAAACGATAATCTGAGAACTACTTCAATTTAGAAAAAGAATTTTGAAAAAAAGATTCAAGTTTTAATGTGCATCTTTTAAACATCAAAATGTCAGAGTATTAGTCAAATTTTAAACTGTAATGTAGACACTTAAGACCAAAATTTTATTGTTCAAGTTTTGTTAGAACTTTGGCAGTGTTCTTTTGCAGCATCTATGCTATGGGCATATAAACGATTTGTGAACAATTTTTACAAACAGAAACACGTTAATCTCGTAAGCTTTGTAATTATTTGTTACTGTAACAAGTAGTAACAAAAATATTTATTTTTAAAGTTGGCGAAAAGATTGCACCGATTTTTTGGTCACCTGTATGCAGTTACCTAAAGTTGCTGTTAGTAGAGAAACACCATCAAATTTGCTTGCTAATGATTCGTTTGCTGTATCTGTTCAGTATAGTTGTTGGGTTTTCTCAGTATTTTTTATGCAATTAACAAATGTTCATAAAAGATTTGTCTTGTTTTTGCAAAAACAATGCAGAATTAAATTCGCCACCTTTTTTAGCTGAAAATTTAGTGTAGATAATATTTGCTGCATTTTTTATCTTTAAAAATTGCCATCAACTGTTGCAGTTTTAACAGTCTTCTAATATTGCTTGTTTATTCTGTATCTACAATTTGTTACTTTCAATTTTCAATCCTCTAGGGTAGTGAATCAGATCTGATGCAGTAATTTCCAGTAGACATTTGAATTGTTTCTATCTTCTAGTCAAAATCAATCAAAAAATATCAGTATTTGATATTTTAAAAATTTTCTTAGAATTTTTTATTTCCTCAGATGTGTTGTTTAAATCTGATTATTTTTGTTGTTCATTGTTGTTGCTCTAAAATGATTAAAAGTTTTGCAACCTTTTGACATGCATATATATTTTGTGACAACAGTAATTTGTTTTGATCAATTGCTGTATTAAGGTAGATATAGAAGTTTATTAAGTTTTCTTAAAGTTTTTTTTCAAATCTTGGAAACTTTTAATGTATTCAATCAACAAACAGTTGAAATGATGTCTTTATACATCTGAAGAGACAACATCACAGTATCTCCTTATCATAGTTTAACAGTTTGTCAAGCTTAAGTACTTTAATAAAAAAATTTTAGTTAACAATATAACCAATTAATTTTCATCTATTTTTTGGCTCAATTTTTTTGAAGTTTTTTTTTATTTTTTTAAAAAATTAAGATCTGTTTTAGTCAAATGAAAACAAAGATATACTACAAAAAATTGATTGATTTATTAATTTAATAACATTTATAAACACTAATAGACTCTAAACTTGCTTAGGAGTAAAAATAAATTTTTACAAACTGTTTTTCAACTTAAAAAAAAAAGATTTTTATTAAATTAGAAAAACAATAATTGACGTTAGCGCAGTTATAGTATCAGTAAATTACTGTTAAATAAAAGTGAGAAACTGAAGCAATAGTATCTGTTCACAGTGTTCAAGTAATATCTACAGAAAATTTTCTTTTTGTTATTTTTGGATTTTTGAAGGTTCAAAACCTTACGATAAAATTGAATCAATTTTAAAACTGCTGTAATATCTTATGAAAATTGTTGTATGCATCTGATTTAATATTGTAGAAAAGTGAAAAAGAAGAAGGCAACAACTTCTGAATACAGATTTACTTTAAAAGTTTGACTAGACGATTTTTATAACTACAATAATTGATGGTATTTCCTAAAGCCTAATAAAAGCAGTGATATATTTGTTACTCTAAACTGATAGCTGAAGAATACAATCAATTTAAATCTGTTGTGTTGCTGCAAAACAAAATTGATCTTTCTTGAAAGCTGTTAATTTTGGTGAGAAATAATGAAGGAAACTAAGATTGTACCGAGTAGATACAGCAAATAAATCAGTGAGAACCAAATTTGATGTCATTTGTTTTCTAACAACGACTTTGACTAACTGCAAACAGTTGCAGTTTTGTTTGGCTAATGACTCCAAAAACAAATATTTTTTTTACAACCTCTCAAGAAAACAAACGAATAAAAGTTCATTTGCTTAAAGTGCTTTGGTTTTTAAAAATCGTTTACAGATTGTTTATTCGTTTACAAGTCGGTTGCTGCAAAGGAAGATTGCCAAAGTTTTGATTGAAAATTTGATCAACAAAACTTCAACAGTCAACTGTACATTATCGAGCAAGACTTAACTAACACACTTTTAAATTGTTACTTAAAC